TGTAGTCGATTGCTACAGCAAGAATACGTTTATAGAAGTAGGTTGACCTCGTTGTCGCAACTTGGTCTTGTTGTCAGGGCGACTATATAGAACGCACCAAGCCCGAAGTCGTACGCCATAGTAGTTGTCATGGTTCACAGCATCTGACCGTGGACTTGATACATTCTCAAACGTTTTATCGGCATCGTATTCGGCATCATCATGAGTTTCGCCGCATCAAGCTATGAACTCGTCAAAGAGACAAGTAAGGCCGACCCCTTGACAAACGTTCTGCCGAAAACGGTTACACTATCATTCCTCTTTATGTCCTCGCCTGGACTGCGGCCATAACAGAAGCCACAACATCTTGGTCTTCATATATTCTAAGAATACGATTACTTCATCGACAATCCCACCAAAGAACGTGATATGAGAAAAGGTCTGACCTTCCTTGAAAGTCACATCTGCCCTGTGACCCAGAGGCACTCGTAGCAGTGTGGCCGTGTCCAGTTCCCATTATGGACTGTCACAGTTCGACTCTTGCTGAGGGTGTTGATAAGGCCGATGCAAGGTCGAAACTGCAGTCTACTCCAGCCGGGATGAGAACAACTTTTGGGAAAGCAAGGCAATGTGAAATTCAATGGAAGCGTCAGCTCTATTCATATCATCGTGGCAAAATTCTTCTTTTACCACTCCTTCATTACCTTAAACGAACTTTGGTGAATACATCTCATATTATTGAGCATTCTTGTCAACATTGTTTCCGAGACAATCTCCTCCGATTCTGGCATAAAACGTGCTAAACTTTCGTCCTTCATATTACGGATGAAAGCCTGGAACGGTTTCCTCGGAAACAGCGCCAACAAGAGTTCCCGTAAAGCTATTATATTCTGGCTGGATTTACCTTCAAATCACTTTAGCAGACTTTCACTCAAAATGGAAGTGAACTCAGCAATGGCTATTGCTCCATGTTAGCATGTCGGTACATGCAGACCTACACAGAAAAAGGACACCGATTCTAGCCTCCAAATAAGCCATTGGTTTCCAGATTTATGATTTAATTAGCCAGAAAGTGCATTCCATTCCAGCCGGGATGAGAACAACTTTTGTGCAAGCAAGGCACTGTGAAATTGAATGGAAACGTCAGCTCCACTCTTATCATTGTGGCAAAATTCTACCACCAGTCCTCCATCAGCTTAAACGAAATACAGTGAATACATCCCATATGACAAATGAC